AGGAATAAAAAATACAAAAAGTTAACTTAATTACCTGTAAGCATTTTAAAAACCAACATGAGCATTTCTGCGTCTCCTTTTAGCAGTTGTGTGTCAGCTTCCAATATCACTAGCCCAGAAACCTACATTTTTTATTATAACGTGTGGTCCCTGGATTTATATTCCTATATTTTAACATGAGTTTTTCTACAAATTAATTCCAGTAGCTGTACTCTTGCTTAAAGCAGATTTGTGTTTCTCAAGAAGTTATGTTCAGATTGTTATTCTGCTAAACTGATATATATTATTTGAAACAATTAACAATAAAGAATTCTCATTTCTTTTTTAAAGATGCATGACATACTGGGTACGTAATAAAAAATCACTACAGTTGAATTAGTGATTTGAAAAAATAATGGGGAAGAGTAAGAAATTTAAGATAGAACAAAGATATTAAAAGGAAAATTCTTTGCTTAGCTTTTAAATCATCCCCAGTAACCCACAATAATACCTGCTTGACAAATTTTTGAGAAGTCAGAAATAAGGTGAATCATACTTGGAGATCTTGGAGAATACATACAACTAAATGTTGCTAAAACATCTGAAATGAATTTAACTTACGTCAGGAGTCCAGTTTCATGGCCCTTAGTACCTACTGAACTACTCAAATTGATTACTAAACGTAAGACTTCTTTCCGCAGAAGTATTCTGCACACTGGTATATCATCTGGGATTGATTTTACTCCTGGAAAAACAAATTCAATAGTATGGAGTTTAAGCAGAATAGTCTTTGATGGTGCTAATCTTATGCCACACAGGTCTATTTTAGCATTACACACACACACATACACGAGTTTGTACTAATGTATGTATTCTGAACTATCAACAATTATTCCAATTAAAATTAAAACAAATAAAAATATTATTTTCATGAATTTTAATATGGAAACATTTAAAAAAGGTAAACTAGTATTTCATAAATGCTGTGTGACATTTAATAAAATCTGTGAGATTCGATTAAAGTGCTATCTCTATCACTAAATCATGTTGCAAACAGTGATTACCTGCTCTGTTTGTATCAGATACTGGTGGAATTAGCAACCAGCTACTTCATAAAAAATTATGATAATTCAAAGTGTGAAACACAAGCCTAAAACAGAAATGTCTTTCTCTTTACAGAAATTCAGCAATTTTTAATTTTTTTAATTTTTTTTTTAAACTAACAACACTGTGGGGGAAAAAGGTAATCAATTTGATTGTAATGTTGGATACAGAGTTGCATTTATATTACCTGCAAAAATGCCAAAAAGCTAAAGCAGAATAGTTTATAAGCATGCCATCTGTCATAGTCATTGATAATGCAACTACCTTCCTGGATAATGATTAGGGCATCCAAAGAGGGTTATTTTTGTTGTTGTTTCTGTTGTTTTTCTGGTTTGGGTGTTTCTTTTTTTTAATAAAGAGCATTACTTTGTTGCCACATATGTAAATAAAATATTATTTTCCCACAATATCTAAAAAAATACTTTAAGAATTATAGTCACTAATAATCATAAGGCTTTGAAACTTACCTAGTACAAGCTCTGTACTCTTGGTACTGATAGCTGAACTGCGGTATACTGCATCACTGCAGCTTGAAATTTCAGAAAATTTAGAGGAATGCATTTCTAAGTGATTGTGTATGGTCTGCCCACACCAGTCAGTATATGGCATGTCTGAAAAATCTGAGAGAAACAAGATGTTGCATATTTGTTATTCACACTTTTCCTCACTTCAAATGCTTTTCTTATTTTTTAACACTGTTAAGCATGCAAGACACTGATGCACTGTGCATGGTAACTATCATCATATAAACCAGCTGGAAACTAGATGATTTTGGACAAATCATACTCAAAATGTCTAAAAATAACTTTTTTTTGAATCTTATAATAATTAGGTGAAAAGAATCAACTCTTAAGCAGTGATAGAAGCATAAAAAACTGTAAACACATGTAGAGCTCTTGTGTAAAATAGAGCATGGATATATCAATAACATAATAAAGATGCTTTTGCATACACACAATTCATACAATTACCACAGGTCTTGCAGAAAGAGCTCTGACTTCATTAACAGGAACATGTGACAAGTAAGATTCTTCTGGAAGGTTTCACTATCCACAGTCTTTGTCATTTTGGATGTAGAGAGATGAATGTAAAATCCAAGCTTTTAACTGTTGTGCAGTTAACAGAACCACAGAAAAACATAGGTCTGAAAGGACTCCTGGAGATCACTTAGTTCAACCCCTTGCTCAAAGAAGGGCTCACTTGAAAATGAGATCAAGCTACACTGCGAAGATTTTTTCTCCTTATATTTAACTAGAATTTCCATTCCTACAGCACACATTCATACTTCGGCTTTGTGCTTCTGACAAAAGCCTGGCTCTGCCTCACCTGTAATCTCCTCATGCTAACTGAAGACTACAACTGGGGTTTGATTTGCCATCTCTACTCAATACTGAACTTGAGCTCAAACTCAGCGCTCTCTGCCATTCCTCACGTTTTGTGCATCCTCACATTTTGTGCATCATCCCCCTTGTCAGCAATACTCTTTAGTTTGAACACTAACCTGTATGACTATAAGAGTTCACTTTGTTGTTAGGCTGATAACCCAATATTTGAATGCAGACACAGTAAAGGCAGTTCTCATCTGTGTGCTCCTGTAGCCCCGTATCCTCTGTATTTTCTAAAAATGGAGAGGCATCTGAATGGCTGGTATTCATTATTTCTGTGAGACTGATCTGCTGTCGGAGCATCTGAAAAGGACTTTTGACAACATCACTTGTACCTGATGGAAGACCTGTAGATAAGCAATTAGACATCAGAAAAAACAAAACCATACAACTAACAGTTAACAAAACAATTTTTTGATTAAATTTCCCCTTTTAAGCCTTTTAAAGCTGGGTAAGGTGTGTGTGTGAAGATCTAGAAACTTTTTTTGAATGGTTAAGCTCCCAAGATTTGCTAGCATTTGGGAAATAAACATGTCATTTTAGTCTTGGTTTATCATATATAACCAAACATTGCAAAGGACGGAATTCAACCTCTAAACACACATACCATAAGAAGATATGTGGTAAATCCTGAAATTCTATCAACATTAGTAATAACCATTTAACATTAATATTTTACAAGTTTTCATAGTATCGAACAAGATTAAAACAACTATATACCAGATGTATAAGCAACACATGCACCAATGAAAACAGAAACACAATTTAAAAAACTGCAACTTAGTATACTAGGATGAAACTAGACTCAACAGTGCAGAAACAACTCAGACACTTTAGTGACATGCTCTTCCCTGGGTGGAAAATACTAACAAATACAATTTTGAATGGGTGTTACTTTACATTGAAACTTAGTAAACTACAGAAACACACTTTCAGGAAAGTCATCTTTATATATTACATTAACAACACAAAAGAAAAAAAAATCAGTAAGATGTCTATTTGGATGTTCAAAGTGTTTGTAATAAAGTTCCAGTTAGCTGAGAAGCAAGACAACAGCTATCCTATACTACTTTAGGACTAGTGTCAATGTTTCTTTTTCAGTTGTCCTACTGAAAAGATATATATCGATGCCCTACAGATTTCTGACTACTCTGGAGTAAAAAGAAAGTGCATTCCAGAACAAGCCAGGCATTACAGAGCACTTGCAATTTTCTTGTACCATGTTCCAGCACCTCTGCTGGTCAACTGTCACAGAAACATCATAGAAAGACAAAACTTACTTTCTGAAATACACACTTAACACCTTTATTGGTTCCTATAAATTCACATGTAAGCAAAGGGAAGTAAAAATATAACAGCACACATATATATGTGGCATACATATTTTATCTAAGGTTACATTTTGTTATTTTCTTTAATGCAGCAACACTACCAGTCTTCAATTAACATTACCTCATATTATAATCAAAGATAAACTTTCCTTCTTAGTTTATTAGAGCAGGATCAAGCTTTGAAGCAACACCACATTATATTGAACTACATAAAACAGGAAATTAATAGCCCACTATCCTGAATCCAGAACACAGGTCTCAAAAATTAGTAGCTAAAAATAACCTTTTCTGTAAAGAAAAAACAACAAATAAAACCCAACACCCCACCCAATGTACAAACAAACAATAGAAAGGTACAGAAGAGAAACAAAATCAATACCTTCTGCATCAGGTGCAAAGACCCCAGCTCCACGGTCATCAAATGGAGGTATGGTTTTCTTCTGGAAATACGGAGTTTCCTTTACCTGGAATATTCAAGTGAAAGTTAAAATTAGCACAGGTGATAATTATATATAATGGAAAAATAGATAATTTTTATGAGGAAATAAAATGTCAATTTTTTACTTCAGGAAAAAGATCTAATTGGAGGTAGAAATTAAGAATGGGCTCCTGAGTAGTAAAGAAAAGCCAATGAGAAAAACATATTTGTGAATGAACATTTATTAAGCAAGGCTTATGAACAGTCAGTAAATGGTAAAACATAGTGGTGACAGGCTGTAAGGAAACTAGTGACCCAGAAGTGCCTAATAATGATCTGTCCACAACGCTGGAGACACCTCAGGAAACTAGAGCAAAACCATCCTGGACATCTAAAATGTTGCCTGTAAAAGCTAGCTGTCAACTAAAAATCTTATGACAGCATATTTATTCTACCACTGTTTAACACACTTCAAACCTAGTCTGTGTCATGATTTCCCTAAAAATGCAAAACAGACTAGCGCTTTTCTGTAAACAGGGTCAGAAAAGTAACTCTTGTTCTCCAAAACACATTCCTCGAAAGTACCTCCTGTTTTCCTCATTTCTGTAAATCTACTCTGTTCTGATGATAATGCAACTGTTAACTACCTTCCAGTATGAAAATGCAAATGAATCCATTAAGTTATCACATACATACCTGAAATATTTCATTGATATCCACTGGGAGAGCAAGGCCAATATAATCGTCAGAACTACCATATGTAGCATTAGAAACCATGGAGTGAACAGAGGAGGAACGATGAAGTGTGTTTTGGTTAATAGGACTTAATAAATCTTCTTTATCTAATGAAGCATAACTTAAAGCTTTCATGAACCTGTAACATTGAAATAATAAATCACAATCTTAGTGAATCTCTCATTCTGGCACATTACAATTATGAAGGACTGCTTACACAAAGACTATCCTCATCGTCCCATTGTAGAACCCAGAGCTTGTTATTTTGTCAAATTACTGCTATAGGCTCATTGCTTTTGTTCTGTCTCATGTTGTATTGCATGGTTTGGAAGTTCCTCGGGTAAAAAAATTATGATTTTTGGTTTTTTTAAGTCCTGGGACAAAGACTTGAAAGATAGCAGGATGGAACTTCTGCTTAAGGGGTTTTCAACCCTGTAAAAACACAATTTTTCTCCAACTTACCAGGCTTCAAAGATTTACAGCCCAGACACAGTCAGTAAAGGTTTAGGCTTTTAAACTGCTAACGCAGAGATTGAGCCTGCTAGGTACCAGAGATGCAAGCAAGGAACACTTTTTTCTTGTATTCTAAAGGAGCCACCCACTGGGTCACCCAAGCAAGAATTTGCTCAACATGAACAGACAAAGAACAAACTTGAACCTGCACAGTGAGCAGAGCTGGCTGTGACAAGCAGCCTGAGGAACAAAGAAAGAAATAGGTTAGGAAAGAAGCAAGAGAGAGGAGGCTGGAGAACAAGTCCTCAGTGCTGATCAGAGTCCTGACGATGGAAATCTCTAATTTGGCCATCTCTCATTTTACTTCTCATTGAAGATAAAAATCTATGAATGCTTTCAGCTAATCAACCTAAATAGATGGTCTATGCAGTAGATTAAGGCTTCCTAGTAAAAAGAGACACTCCTTAGGAACAGTAAATTTTTATTATGTTACTGTAAATTATAATACATTGGAAAGTAAGTAAAATGAACATTTTATTTCTTGAGTTGGACTTTCTGCCTTAGAAATTATTTTCTATATTTTTTTTGTTTAGATGGGCAATTTAAATGTCTTTTCATCCATAACAGTTTAACAGATTTATACCAAGATAAAAATAAAATATTATGGTTTGACTCTGTGTTGTTCAAGACATTATTATGCAATGGGAATGTGCAGAACAGATTATAGGACATCAATGCTTTTCTTGCTACTAATTCTGACCAATGCTAATTACAGTAGCAGTGAACTTGCAATAAAACTCAATTCATACTTCAAAACCCAGAGTTATCAATTGTATTAGCTATTTCATAATAAAAGATTCTATAATTACTCTCAATATAAAGACATAATAATCCTAAACATTTGACTCTGCTTCTCTTGGAAAAGTTAACAGATGTATCATTAGAAGTGATAAACACTGATAAGTTTTCATGTATGCAAGTGATGGGGCAAGAGCCACAAACAGGATTTGAGATATGTACCTTAACATTTTTGGTTGGTCTTTAAAGGCAGAGGTGGAAAATTTAGCCTCACAAAATAATTTCTGCAAAGAAATAAGCTTTTCAACCTTTTGAATGAATGGAACAACTGGAAACACCACTGAAGTAAATGTAAAGCTGCTACTTGCTATGAACAACTGAATTTGTGAATGAAGCATGAATCAAAGAAAACTTTCTGAAGACTGACAGAAGAATGGCCTTAGAAGACAAAAAAAAGGACAGAATTATTCTTTCCAATATATTATCTAAACAGCAGTTAAAGACAATATTTAGCTAGAAGTAGAAACATACTCTGAAATTAAAAGGAGCACAATTATTCAGCAGAGACCCTCGGCTGTAACCAGTAAGAAAAATACATATTCTAGTTAAATTATAGCCTTTCCAATCAATAATATCAGTAACCAAGACAATCTGACAATCTTTTGTAATATGGACATCTGCAATTTTTTAACCTTCTCAGAGATATGAGCACTCCAGTCATTTCAGTTCAATGTTAAACAGGTCAGCTCAAATCCTTGCACCTAACCACTGATATGAGAGATCATGAACAGCTAAGCACCAGGATTACACTGCATTACACTTCATGCTGAGTCTCAGGATGAAAGTCCACTGCAGGAAGGCTGCTTTGCATATCAAGGACATGACTGCAAGGAACGGTACAGCATGACTACAGCCACAAAAGAATCTGTACTGCCACTAAAATGACACTGATTTGTTCCTGCATTAACACAGGACACCAGTGACAAGAGCAAGGAATAGCACTTCTGATTTTCAGGATGGTGCAGCTTAACTACTGAATCATCCTTAATTTAATCACCACACTCAGTCTAGTTCTAACTTAACTAAACAAAGGGAACGAAACTTTGGCATCTTTGCAAAACCAAGACTTATGTGAAAATATAAAAAATAATTATTTTTCTCTTACTCATGAAGGAAACTAGTAATAATAAACAGGCCCTACAGACATTCAACTGGGTATGTGGATTTAAATTCAAGGACCAGGCATTTGCTCTCTCATGTGAGACAGGATATTTAGGCAAAAAACAGAGATAGAAAGTGTCTTTTCCCTTTCAGCAATAATCTGAAAATCTAATCCACTAGCTAAAAGCTGATTTGAAAATAAAAAGTTTGGGAAATAGAAGAGCTTTTAAGAGAAAGTTGTTAAGCACTGACTGTAGCTGCTGGGAACAGTGTCAATGTTATGAGCTAGATATCTTATGTAACTATCCAAATAGTCTTCAGAAGATCTAAAATTACTCAAAAATAAAGAGGTGACACAGCAATCTAAAAATAAACCCTTTGAGTAAAATCTTTGCTTTGTTGTAGCTAAGAAGCCAAACTCACATTCATATCAGTGGTACCAGTATCTCACCACTGGCCTCAATGACACATTGAATAATAATATATCATATTGGCAGGAGTCCATGTCCTAAAACCTCACCAGTAACACTGAGAAAATTCTCTTCTGAATTACATCTCTGACTGCATGAGCAATTTTGTGTGATTGTAACTTCAGTGATGTTAGCAGTGCAACTGCATTGAAATATTAAAAAAAGTTAAACAGGAAGCAAATGTGATAGAAGTAAACATACTCCTTTGTCACTAACAGCATTAAAGGGACTGAGGACAGCTCTGAAAGCTGGGTTTCTCTGACAGCACTTACAAAGTTCAGACTTCTCATTAACCTATTCTCCTCCTAATATCGGTACTGCTTTCAGCAAAGTTATAAATCATCCTGCAACAGCTGTCCCTTTTAGATGAAGTTGGAAAAAATTATTAGAAATATACTTTTCTTATTTAATTGCTCTTACAGCTTTGAGTTAAGAAACAAGCATGTAATAATCTCTTACCGACTTGGGGTCAGCCGAGAATCCAGGCTGCCAGACTTCATGGTAATAGTGTCAGTAAACAGCACGTCCTTTGCTGGAGATGTTAGAGCTTCTGAGTGAGACAGTGAAGGATGCATTCTCTGTTGTTGTAAGCGTTTTAGTGTAGCATAGCCAAAGGCATCTCGAGAACTTGTGTAGCTAAAGTTATAGTCAGCAAGACTTTTTATTGTAGCAAGAGAAGGAGCCTTAAGAGACTGGGCTCTTCGGGGAAGTGTATGAGAAGATCCTGGCAGTACCAGGGATACAGAGTTGGATTTTGAGAGAGGCAAGTGATTAGACTGTGGTGTTGAACAGTGACTTGGTTTCACTGTTTTTGTGCTTACCACAGTACTCAAACTTCCACAGTCAGTATCTACGTTTGTAGTGTCCACACCTACAGTCTCCCTTGAAGGGCTAGAGCTCATTGAGCTTATGCCACTTGTTGTGGTATCTGTATTAAAACTTAAGCTACGACTCTTGAAATGCGTTTGTGTAGTACCATCTCCTATAAGCCTTTCTCTGCTTATGTTTTCCTGGTGAATTTCATTTCCAAGACCTTTTGGCAGCTTCAAATCATTTTCTCCAATACTTGGGGTACTATCAGTATCTTCTACATGCTTACTTCCAACAAAAGAAGTTTCTGATCGTAAAGTCTGGATTTTAGGAACTCTCAAAACAGGGTTGAAATCTTCCCCAGCAGGAAAGTCTATGCTACTGGAAGGTTCTGTTACAGTACGATTTCGTCTCAGGCTTGATTTACTGTCAGATGATATCAGCTTTCCTCCTTTTGGATCACTGCTACTTCTGTGTTTTTTATTAGGTAGAGTAAGAGAGTTTAGAATGCGATTTTTCACAAGTCTGCTAGAAGAAAAAAAAGGAAAGGGACTATGGTCTTTGTCCTTTGAAAGTCTGGGTCTGTCATAAAATATTTGTTCTGCATCTTCAGTAATATCTAGGAAGAATGTACTAGTGGAAGTACTACCAAAATGGTCATCCTCCATGATGAACATACCTGAAATTATATGAGACTTTGTCACTGAAAATGGACATTTCTTCAGTGTAGAAACTATGTTGCAAAAAAGTAAGCAATTCTATAAAAGCTAAAATGGGAGACTATGTGTTTTACCTCAATTTTAATTCAACATTTTTTTTGCAGAATTTAGTACTGTAAATTAAGTATCTTCAGGAGTACCTGAGCTGAAGGTTTCATTGCTTCAAAAGAAAAGCCACACTATCTTATTTCAGTGCAAATATCCAGCTACTAGGATTACAATTGATGTGCTCCTTTAATGATATCTAAATATAGTATATTTTTGGACTTAAATTCCAAATATCAATAGCAAAAATTAAGATGTATTAGATACACAAAATATACAAAAATTTAAATACAGCAATACTCTGTGTGTATATGCACAGAATATATATTTTAAATATTCCTTTATTCCTTTGAGGACAAACAAGTAAATGTGTCTTTATACCTAAAGCATGGAGATTTCTGCGGGATATTATAGCAAGCTGACATAACTTGACATAAAAAACTAGTAACTTATTCTAATGTTAAAATTTCTGATTTCTACACCAAATGTAAATCTTCTTAGATTTCTCTTCCCTCTCACTTGATTACGTCTCTCTGAATGCATAACTGTCCCTTGGTTTGCACTCTTCTTACTTGCAATAGTAACCTTAAACCATTTGCCTGAACCTCATCCTGTCAAAAAGTCAGTAAGAACACCAAAATGCTATTTTGTGGCAGGATTAATTTGCTGTTGTTGTTGCTTGTTTGTTTGGAGATTTTTTTTTGTTGTTACTTACTTGAAGGAGCAGATTCGCTTTCACTGTTATGCCTAGAACTGGTGGACTTTGAGTTCAAGCTAAGAGTACTGGGTATAGAAGAAAGTTCATTGCAGAGCTGCTCCATGTCATCAGGGATCACTGGCCAAGGCTGTCTACGACTGTGTCTCACTGCATCCCAGTTATGATGCTTCAAAATGTCACATCCTTGTTTAGTTTTGGCTATTAGACCAAGCACGTAGACACAGGTTCTGTATTTAATGTATATATAGAAAAAAAGAGCAACAATAATAGCAGCTAATTTAATTAAACTTATTTGACTCTTGAAAGGAAACAATTTAAAAACAACTCAGCAGAAATTTCACAGAATTGCCAAATAGCTTTTTGTTCCTTATTTTTATATGTAAATCAATTTAAGCATAGGAAATGCACTAAAATACCTGAGAACAATACACTACTAAAAAAATTAAAAATAACTATTACAAGAGCCTGATACATAAAGTAGAAAAGTACCTTTTTTATTAAAAGGACAAACATTAATGCAGTAGCAGTATTACACAAAAGACCATCTATTTATGCTTTCTTTTAAAGATTCAAAAAATATACTGAATAAAAATGATAGAAGAATAAATTGATTCCAACTGAGATATAAGTAGCAAATATATAAATTGTTTTTTAAAAAAGGAAAAAAGTAGTATATATCTTTTTTTATAGGTTTCATTTCCTTACTGCATGTTATTTTAGACTTCCTATACAATTCTGAGATTGTATAGGACTGAGATTGATCAATGATCTTTAATAACTGATTTCCAAGTAAGCAGCAAAACTATACTCGAATAAATTAGGTAGGGCTATTTGAAAACCTACTGTAAATTTTATGTATAAATCAGATAGACATACCCTCTAACAGAGAGAACCTCACAATGTTGTGCAAGTGCCATTATATCAGGAATTACATTCTCCTCTTGAAGCAAGTTAAGACCCCAATTTGATGATCCAATATTGCCCTGGAATAAAGCAGTTTGTCAAATAAATTTTGATGTTTATGTGATCTGCAGCACTATCAGTGTAAAGCTTTGATATTTTCGTTTGTTGATGGTACAGTTTCAAGCCATATTTTCTCAAAACAATTAGAGATTTGAGCAACCTTTTTGGCATTTCCTAGTCATGCAAATCCAAAAAAAAAGGACTCAAGACACTATGTGTAATACCTAAAGCTGGTCATGGTTAACTACTACGCATTCCTCATTTTACTAGTTCTACTACAACCAGAAGTATGATCTCGAATTACTCATTTTGCATTCTTCTTAAATGGGCACTTTATTACATACCTACAATATCTTCCATTAATAGTCACCTTGGCCAAATGCTTCAAAATAAACTTTGGGGAAGACAAGAAAGAGGCAGAACAGTTGAGGTGGCAAAGCAACTTTAGAAGTGTAGCTTGGATAGGCACAGACACTGGGTTTTACCCATGTTATCCCAAGTACCAGGGATGTCATGACCATATATATTCACACACATCAACAGTGGTAGCCAACTTTCTTCCAGAAAAACTGAATTTTTGAACACCACAGTAAATATATTAAAAATAGACCACAGCAAGTGGTAACCACTGGTTCCCTAGTAATACTGCTGCTACATGTGGCAATCTGTTCTTTTTATTTGGTTTAACCTGCCCCCCCAAAAAAAAACCCAACAACAAACAACCAACAACCCAACAAACAAAAAAAGAAAAACAAAAAAAGAAAGACAAAGCAAATATTAAAAGACTCAAAACAAAACAGGTGCAGTGAACAATTTTCATCTGAAAGTCCACTTAAGGTACTTCACACTAATTTGGAAAGTCATACCGGTTTTATGACAAAAATCCTAAATAATGATTTTACAGGATTTTGCTTAGTTATTTCAGAATCAGGAGTCATAACAGAACTCAAACAGCTGCAAAAAGATTGTAAATCTATTACTAACCAAGGCCCAAAGGGCTGCTTTCAGCTGCTTAATTCCTTCCCACTTATCCAGCACTGGGGAATGAACAGTGCAACTTAGATCTGTAACAATATTCTGAAGGACAAAAACAGAAGAAAAAAATACACAGTTCAAAATGAAAAGGAGATGACCTCAGTAAAACAGACTCTCTTGCAGTTTTAATAAAGGTAAAGTGCTGATTTAAAGTATGTACCCTAAAATAAAATAGTGGCAGTTCTAGCATAATAACCATAAATTAACGGTAACGTAGGTAGAAAATTTGAATGTTACCACTGACTGCATGAGATTAATTCAGATTTTATAAATGTAACAGATTCATCAGAGTAACACGCTACAATATATAAGATATCTCTTGAACTTTTTGGCTATTACATACAATTCATTACATCATCTCCCACATTAAAAGTCAATTTATTTAAGCAACTATGAATTGACTTAGGACTTGTTTTTGTAGATCTTCAGGATATTAGAAAGAAGATTTTATGCCCTCATCTCCACGCCTTTGTACGCATAAAAGGATAGACACAGTTTTACTTGTCAATATACAATTCACTCATACTGAAAAATTATTTCTATTGATGAGTTGCTTTCCATTCTAAGTTTTTGCTAGCCATTTTAAGAAAAACGTTGCAAGGTATTTCTCTGATATTTCAGTGGTCAGGAAGGAATTTTACATGAGAATAGACAGCAAAGACTGTCTTCACAACTTTTTGGGCCCTGTGTAACTTGAGACTTTCATAATCTACTTATTTTGCAATGACTGTTTAAATGCCATTTGTTTTAAAACATACTTAAAAAGGGTTACAATAGAGTTTAAAAATCTTTCAAGTTATAGATAGTTGTTATCCTCACCTGAGACTCCAATAAATGGCAGCCTGTTTTATGGTGCACCAGTTGGCCATAAAGGTGAACTGGCAGGTAGACATGTGGTCGCTGTAATCTGGTAGAAAGAGAAATCATATATTTTCCCAGAAACCCTGAAATTTTCTTTTAAAATAAATTACCCCACAATGTAATGCAATGAGTTACTCTTGAGTTTTTTTCAAACAAGGAGGATTCTTTTGGAGAGTTTACCTTTGATTGCTCCGACGAACATAGTTATCACCATCAATAGGTTTGCGATAAGTTGTAAGTGCTTCATTAAGTTGTTCTTCAATCAATTCAACATACTTCAAGTTATATTCCTAAAAGACAACAAAGGTTGATTAGTGATTTTATAGTACAGTATTTTGTAAGGAAGGAACAATTGAAGTGCTCCTTAAGGAAGGCTGAATTTCTTTATGATTTGAAGGTGAGGCTCACCAAAATACTGCCCTACATACATACATACAATGAGTTTGCAGAGAGTTGACAAATGATTCCATAATTATTTCAGTGAATTTGTTACAAAAGGAAGGAAAGAAGAAAATACTTCTGTATTATCATCCAGAGGGACCAGGACAAGCTGGAGAGGTGGGCCCATGTGAACCCCATTGAGGTTCAACAAGGCCAAGTACAAGGTCCTGCACCTGAATAGGGGCAATCCTTGTTATCAGTACAGGCTGGGGGATGATGTGATAGAGAGCAACCCTGAGGAAAAGGACTTGGGGTACTGGTGGATGAAAAGCTGGACATGAGCCAACAATGGGCGCTCGCAGCCCAGAAGGCCAATCGCATCCTGGGCTGCATCACAAGAAGTGTGGCCAGCAGATCGAGGGAGGTGATTTTGCCCCTCTACTCTGCTCTCGTGAGACCTCCCCTGGAGTACTGTGTCCAGCTCTAGAGCCCTCAACACAAGAAGGACATGGAACTGTTGGAGCAGGCCCAGAGGAGGGCCACAAAAATTATCTGAGGTCTGGAGCACCCCTCCTACGAAGACAGGCTGAGAGAGTTAGGATTGTTCATAATTTTAATTAGAAACAACCAAGACCAATTGTTCTCAGGGTACCCAGCACGCTGAGCTGGAAGACAGAGACAGTGAGCAGAATGAAGTCCCCATAAACCAAAGAAAATGGTTAGTTACCTGCTACACCACTTAGAGATACACAAGTCTATGAGGTCATATGGGATCTACCCAAGGGTACTGAGAGAGCTGGCAGAAGTGCTCACCAATTCCTTTTCAATAATTTATCAGCAGTCCTGGCTAAACGGGAAGGTCCCAGTTGACTGGAGGTTAGAAAATGTGATGCCCATTTACAATAAGGGCTGGAAGGAGGATCCAGTGAAGTACAGGACTGTCAGACTGACCTCGGTGCCAGGGAAGGTTATGGAGTAGATAATCTTGACTGCCATCACACTGTATGTACAAGGCAACCAGAGGCTCAGGCCCAGTCAGCATGAGTTCAGGAAGGGCAGGTCCTGCTTGACTAACGTGATCTCACAGATTATGACAAGGTAACTTGCTTAGTGGATGAGGGAAAGGCTGTGGATGTAGTGTACTTGAACTTTAGTAAAGCCTTTGACACTGTTTCCCACTGTTATCCTGGAGAAACTGGCTGCTCATAGATTGGATGGGCATGCTCTTCACTGGATAAAAAACTGGCTAGATTGCCAGGCCCAAAGAGTTGTGGTGAATGGAGTTAAATCCAGTTGGCAGCTGGTCACAAGCTATGGTCCCCAGGGCTCAGTACTGGGGCCAGTTCTGTTTAATGCAATGCTATAGACTTGGGGAAGAGTGGCTGGAAAGCTGCCCAAAGGAAAAAGACCTTGTAGTGTTGGTTGACAACTGGCTGAATACGAGCTGGCACTGTACCCAGGTTGCCAAGAAGGCCAATAGCATCCTAGCTTGTATCAGAAACTGTGTGGCCAGCAGGACCAGGGAAGTGATCGTGCCCCTGTACTCAGCACCATACCCCTGTATTCAGCACCTGTGAGGCCGTACTTAAAATCCTGTGTTCAGTTTTGGGCCTCTCACTACAAAAAGGACATTGAGGCACTGGAGCATGTCCAGAGAAGGGCAACTAAGCTGGTGAGGGGTCTAGAGCACAAGTCTTGCGAGGAGCGGCTGAGGGAACTGGGGTTATTTAGTCTGGAGAAAAGGAGGCTGAGGGGAGACCTTATTGCCCTCTACAACTACCTGAAAGGAGGTTGTGGCGAAGTGGGTGTCTATCTCTTTTCCCTAGCAACAAGCGATAGGACGAGAGGAAATGTTGTTTCACAACAAACTATTTTGAGAAGTCAAGAAGTCACTACACTCCTTAAATATTTGCTGGAATATCAAAATTATATAAAAGGCTTGAGTAATTCAAAAGCACACATGCACAGAGGAGCTATGGAACTGTAAATCCCCGTCAACCTTTTTCAGTAAAATCATGTCACTGAGGCATATAATGTATTAACATTAGCAATACAGATACAAGAAGGTATAATATTTTTAATAATCTTTGTCCTTCTAAACCTGCGTATTCACACCCTTCCTCCTCCTAATTTCAAGTGGATACACATGTTTTATTCTAAGCATTACCTTTTGCCACTTTTCCATTTGTTTCGTTACATAACCTCTTTCATTTAGATACGAAAATCCCTTTGGAATAGACAAAAATCTGTAAAGTAACATCAGATAGTTAGTACTCCACTTAAACAATTTGATCTTATTAAAACCAAACACTGTTTCCATAGTGTAAAGTCAAACAGCATATTTAACATTTACCTTAGGAGTAGAAGCAAACCTTTGTCTCCAAGGTGAGAAAGAGCTGGTTTCATTTGGATAAGGGCATGAAGATTGGCCTAAAAGAATTAAAAATGCATAAAGACTATCCAAGCACTATATAATTCTGAAAACTACCACAATTACAGCAGTCTGCCAGCAATGAGGCAGCAAGATTTTCACAAAAGGAAATATCAAACAGCACTAACCTCATCCTAATATTATCCATTTTAAGTACCTTCTGTCATTAATACATTAATACTTTACAAAAAGTATAATGATCAAAATAGCAAATTAGTCTGAATTCATATTTAAAAGTAAGCATAATCTATAAGTTTTCATTTTCTTGGCATTAATACTGCAGTATTTTCAGCAAGGGGTCTCTAAACTTATGAAGACCATCAATGACAATCAAGAAAGGAAATCATCAGTAGCTTCATACATACTTTTACTTTGCTGAGGGGGGGGAACAGCCTAGAGTAGCTTACCAGAGAGAAGTTGAAAAGGGAAAGGATGCTCACCTTGTCTTCACATGCCTCATCTAGAATATCAAGTGCCTCGGAAGAAATAGTTTTATTTTTATCATGTAACTGGGTCACCAGTAACTCAATCCCCCAGTTGCTGAAGAACTCTACATTTGCTCTCAGTAATACTCGTAAGTGTTTTGTTGCATACAACCTGCAGCTCTGCAAAAGTAAGGAAAATACTTTTTGGAATAGAAAGAAAATAGTGTGGTTAATGATTTATCACTTTTAAAAATACATTTCAATTACCACACTTTATAGCAAGTGACTGCATTGCACACCTTAATGCATTAAAACTAGTCTACTTGAGAGCTATATCTATCTTATCAAATTGGAAATTTAAGTCTAAGATCACAAGTAATCTGATCACTGCAAGTCTCCTTGGAAAGCCTTTATCAATTAGTCATTCACTGTAATGGCGTCACACAAATTCATCAGGATATGCAGGAGAAATACCTTGTAAATGACCAGTGTGATTGCATATACTTTCATGAATGCAGTGTTTTGAAAAATATTTTAACAAGCAAATCTTAGAACCTCTGGGGAATTTATTTTAATAAATTTTAAATTGTTTCACAAAAGTACCTGATCTTCAAAGCTTCTCAGAAAACCTTCTAAAAACAAAAATGTTTTCTGTAATAAGATAGTTTGCCAAAACTTAGTTTACTACTATGAATTTCTCTGACAGCAGAATGAAGTACCTGTACTGCTGTTCAAAACTTGCTGAATGAACATCATAAAATGATGAACATAATTTTTATTAGAAAAATTGCACACAAAATAGAAGCAAACAGGCTTAATCTACAAGAATTTGTAAGCATAGAACAACCCTGGCAATGTATGTTTACTGGGAAAGGTGCTATCTTTACTTAGACAAGCGTAGTTATAAAAGACAAAATCAGGTGCCCAAATCTTTCTTCAGGTCTTCTTCAGTACTTTACAGCTTTAAGGCTATGATAGCTATAACCATGTAAATTTTCTATATGTTAAAATGTAAGTTCTCTCTGTTGGGATGCATGTGAATATCTTTACTCTAAGAGAGGTGAATTTGTCCAGGTTGGACAGCACTACCTAGGTTAACAATATGTTATGGATATTATTTTTTTCCTCCAGAAATACTTGGCAAGCAGGACTTGAAAGAAAATGGGAGTAGGAAATGTGAACGTGCACAGTTCATTTCAAAAACCTTGTCTCATTATTTCAACTTCAAGTATCGTGCACATTTCTATTTATTCAATATAGAGAGGTTTATTTTTTGGAAGGGAGACGGGAACGACATAACACAAGTACCAAGAATGACTGTGGCAACAGTGATTTGCAACTCTGATGTAGGCTGCACAACCATTTTGAAATGGCTTGCATTCCATTAGTGGTATGCCTTGTGGAATAGATGAGCAACAGACCTATTAAAGATGAGAAAAAGAGCTATTATGCCAAAATGATCACCTGATCTAGATGTTAAGCCTACAAACTAACACAATAACGTGAAACCAGAATTCAGTGTCATGTAGTTCAAGTGTTAAAATCTGTCTATAAAGAATCATTGTTACTGCTATGTTATTGAAAGGAAAACCAGTGTAGAGGATATCTGAGGAAAAAGGTATTCCTCTCTTTTCCCCAAGCGTGAACTGCATGAAAAACATTGATAAAACCCTGTACTATATCTGTCAGAAGATTCTTACTTTTAATAGTAAAGGTCTTTGTGACCCATAGAAGTGATAAAGCAAGTCAGAGGTCACTATGCTCAGCTGATTACATACAGCTTAGCATAAATGCCAGTAGATATAGGATAAATCTACCTCTTAGCCACCCATGAAGATAAAAGGTTATGAACTGCAACACTTGAGGACACACTGGCTATGCTATGCTGCTGTTCCTACCATGAGCTGGCAGAAAGGTAGCTGAAGCAGTATCAATTTGCTTCAGCATGAATGACCAAAGCACATCTGGAAGTAGATTAAGATGTGCTTCTGCTTCACTGATCTGCAAAGATATTGCTCTGTAAATGTTTTTGTTGTATACAGTCATCCCCAAAAAGCTACTCTTCCATTCTAATGCTAAGCTGACTACAGAAATGACTTTTCCTTGTTCTGAGATACTCATCAGCAAATGGCTAACAAACCTGCTTCACAGCTCTGGGTTGCTACAAAAGGTGTATGCGGCTATAACCTCAATTCATGAAAAAAGCATCTTCAGCTCTTGAAATAAACAGATGCTAAAATTTCATTAAAAAACATCTCAGGGAATTAAAATTTCTTAAGGAAAGAAGCCTTACTGGAGATGGTCTTTCTCCCTTACAAAACACAGCTTTTTAGAAATTATGCCCAGTTCCATGGATTTTTATTGCTTTTAAACATAATTTAGAAGCCAGAGGCAGCATACGGAATCAAAGAGCACAATTTGTCTTCTGTATTCTGAATTAATACAAACCGTTCCATAGGCATTTGGTTACTATACAGGCTCTACTCATCCAACAAGGTCCTTGAAAAGGGAAGGTGGAAGGGCTTGCAAGTACCTTATTTGAATTGAGCTGCATGTTAATTTTTAATCTTAGGATTCACTTGTCCAAGGTGACAGAATGTCAGTTATGTATGGTAATATTAAAAAATATATTCTCCCTATGGGACAAAGCAGTGAGCGGTACTGCATCAAATTTCAGTGTTTTCCCTATCATGCTTGATAAACACGAGGGAGTAAATTATTGTTTACTGGTGACAATGTTGCTGTTTCAGAATTCCAAACTGTAAACCCCAGAAAATGGCAGATAATTTCATCTAACATATAAGCAGATGTACTTCCAAATTACTCCTCAAGTCAGTGGAATTGCCCATGCAAATATCTGTCAATTCAATATTTCCATATTCTTTCTGGTATCTTATCCTCTCCGAATTGACTACTATTTCCACCTCACACTAATATTGTAGTTTCTGGAAGAGACTTGTAGTTTTGCAATTACAGTAGCTCAAAAATATCACTTATACCACTAAGGATACAGTTAATATCAGAATAATCATCACAATTTATCCTTTGGATTAGCTTTTGACGCTTTGATCTTCTATTGGGACCACAAACACCAGAAACACTAAACATTTTATCCAATAGATGATACTAGCAATATTCTGTACACCAAGCATTGCCAAAGGGTTCTTTGAAAGGTCAGCATTTTGGTTTTTTGTAAAGTAGTAGCCAATGACATTTTCTCCTCAAAATCTCATCAGTTCAGTTTCCACCATAAGAATGTATGCAGCCAGGCACATGTAAAACAGGAAAATAATTTCTTAAGGAAGTAAATAAATTTTATCCAACTGTGAAATCATCAGTGGTTGATGCAAATGTAGATCCACTTCTGCTGGCTGAGACAGTCCATTCTATTTGTACTTTTCTTATTTTAGAACAAAATTTTTTCCTTATGAATTCCAAGCAGGTCAACTAATTCAGGAAACAAAATGCTCTGACATTGTTTTATCCATCCCTCAGGGTTCAGTACGTATCACAAAGGAAGTCAGGCTCTATTTAAGAGGTTCTTACAGTAAATTTCCCTTCTTTTCTGGTATTCTGATAGTAAAAGATTAATTTACATTCGTGATGTATAAACAAGATTTAAATTTTTTCTATTTCTTAAATGTGTTATCATAAATACTTTAAAAATATTAAAGGGATTCTCATGGTACTGCAGGGTGCAAAAATCAGGGTACAGTCTCATCCAGTGCAACACTAAACTTTAAATAGTAGAATTTAAGTCACAACACGTCTCAGCTGTGAACTTTCTTAGAGATCACTATGGCTTGAGACCTGCTATTAATAACTGCACACCTTACTCTGATATTTAGGATTACTGACCCATATCAGTGCACATATTTTATAAGTAAAACTGTAACCTTTCTCATAAGTCAGTGACAGAAGACATATCCTAATCATTTCTATTCTATTATTATATATGAATGGGAGAGGGAGCTATATGGACCCATCATCACAGAGGAGGAAGACCACACTCTAAGAATTGGTGGATAAATTTGAAACAATTCATCTGCAGAAAGAGAAAGATCCTGATATGCCTCCCCTAGAAACATTTCCACAGAAAGAAGAAACTAAAGCCAAGGAGGTAAATGCTACCCACTTAACCACCAAAGAGCTGCCAGATGTACAAAAAGATTTTACTTGTCCAAGTGAGACTATTACTGCCCGGATGATACGATGTTGGGACAACAGAGCTGACAGCATAGAAGTTGACGATAAACATAAATGCTACCCACTTAACCACCAAAGAGCTGCCAGATGTACAAAAAGATTTTACTTGTCCAAGTGAGACTATTACTGCCCGGATGATACGATGTTGGGACAACAGAGCTGACAGCATAGAAGTTGACGATAAACAAACCAGGCATCTGGGATCAATCGCCAGGGAAGGAGGCATTGACAAGGCATTAGCAATGGTAGATGAAAGACCCTGGAGTCTCTGGCAGCAGATTTTGGTTACTATGAGGATAAGATTTCCCTAAAGATTATCCTATTTGTAGGCCAGTCAAATGGCCTACCATAGAGAGAGGTATTCAGTACCTGAGGGAATTAGCTGTGGTAGAGTTGGTTTATGAATTCCTGATTGAGCCTCGGAAACTCGTAGATTCAGATGCAGTTCAGTGCAAACCACCTATGTGGTGAAAGATTGTACATGGTGCACCAGCACCATACGCCAACTCATTAGCAATAATCAGCTGGAAAGACAGAGACATAACAACAGTCAATGAGGTGATTGATCGCCTCCGAGTTTACAATGATGGTCTCTCTTCTTCTGTATGAGCCTGTATTTCAGTTGTGGAGAAACTGGTCCAGCGACTCGATGAGAATAGATTTTTCTCACCACCAGTATGGACTCCTATCTCAGCCATGAAGAAACAACACACTCCTGAGAAGCCTGTTTGAGGGAGACGCTACACCCTATGAGGAACTCTATGGTTTTTCTTGCATGACCATGGAGAAGACATGAGGAAGTGGGATGGAAAACCCACCTCAATCCTAGAGACATGGATACGTGAATTGAAAGGAAAGCCAATCATAAGTGGAGGTCCTTCCATGAAAATTGCTGCTCCAGTCTCCAATGGTCAGTTCCCACAACAGGGTGAAAGAATGAATTTTACTCCTGGTTTTAGGAGTAGTTATAATACTAATCCATTCTTACAGGAAGCAAGTGGAGGATCCTACAGCCAGTACTAGAGGTGCCCTGCCTCCAGACAAGTGGAGGAGAGGGATAACTGTGTTTGTTGGACTGTATGGATTCGATGGCCTGGCACATCACAACCAAAGGAGTATAAGGCTCTAGTGGACACTGGTGTTCAATGTACACTAATCCCATCAAGCTAAAAGGGACAGAATCCATTTCTATTTCTGGAGTGACTGGGGGAATCTCAAGAACTGACTGTTTTAGAGGCTGAAATAAGCCTAACTGGCAATATGCAGCAAAAGCACCCTATTGTGAATGGTCCAGATGCTCTGTGTATTCTGGGAAGAGATTACCTCAGGAGAGGTTATTTCAAAGACCCAAAAGAGTACCAGTGGGCCTTTGGTATAGCAGCTGTGGAAACTGAGGACATTGAACAGCTGTCTACTTGTCCTGGTCTCTCAGACGACCCTTCTATTGTTGGACTGCTGAAGGTTGAAGGACAAAAGGTGCCCATTGCTACTACAACAGTGCATTGTTGGCAGTATTGCACCAACCAAGGCTCTTTGACCCCTATTCTTCAATTGATGCGTCAACTGGAAAGCCAAGGAGTGATCAGCAAGGCACGCTCACCCTTTAACAGTCCCATATGCCAGTGCAAAAGGCTACTGGGGAATGGAGAGTGACTGTAGACTATCGTGGCCTGAATGAAGTTACGCCACCACTGAGTGCTGCTGTGCCAGACATGATAGACTTGCAGCATGTACTGGAGTCAAAGGCAGCTAAGTGGTATGCCACAATTGACATTGCTAATGCATTCTTCTCTATTCCCTTAGCAGCAGAATGTAGGCCACAGTTTGCTTTCACCTGGAAGGGCATCCAGTACACCTGGAATCGACTGCCCCAGGGGTGGAAACACAGCCCTACCATTTGCCATGGACTGATCCAGACTGCACTGGAGAAGGGCAAAGATCCAGAACGCTTGCAATGCAATGACGACGTCTGTGTTGTGCTTAGCTGCCTTCCACAACAGTCCTTTTCGGCACTCAACGTGGGGCTTGAAGGGTTGAGATAAGGACAGATCTGACCAGAGTGTGTGTCATAGTTTAACCTGGAAAACATCTAAGCACATGAAGTTCGCTCGTTCAACTCCCCTCCACTCCCTGGTGGGATGGGAAAGAGAACTGAGAGAGTAAAAGAACTCATCAGTTGAGATAAAGACTATTTAATAACTAAAACAACCCAAACTGAAATAATAATAATATACATTTGCAATACATTGACGACATCACCCTTCTCCAACAACCCTGTAGCCACATTATAGAAGGCCACCAAATTTGCCAGGCATGATTTGCCCTTAGTGAAACCATGTTGGCTGTCACCAATCACCTCCTTATTTTCCATGTGCCTTAGGATAGTTTCCTGGAAGATGTGCTCCATGATCTTGACAGGCACAGAGGTGAGACTGACCGGCCTGTGGTTCTGGGCCCGGGTTTTCCTTTTTTTCCCCTCTTTTTAAAAATGGGAAAAAGAAGACATCACATGGTATGGGATATCCCATTCGTCAGTTGGGGTCAGCTGTCCCAGATGTGTCCCCTGCAAACTTTTAGTGCATTTCCAAACTACTCACTGGCAGGGCAATGTGAGGAGCAGAAAAGGCCTTCATACTGTGTAAGAACTGCTCAGCAATAGCTAAAACATCACTGTGTTATCAAGACTATTTTCAGCACAAATCCAAAACATAGCCCCAAACAAGCCAGTATGAAGAAATTTAACTATCCCAGCCAAAACTAGTACCAGGCTCTACAAGCTTTCTTAATTTCTAAGGTGTCAGAGTGTGACGTCTATCCTATTAACATCCAAACTACAAGAAGTGTTTACTACTCATTGTTCATTAACCTGAACTACAAATAGGTGGAAATTGTATTTTTAAGTACCATCACTAATGGCAGCAGCAGTTCTTAACTGCTTTCTGGCTTTTTATATGCTAGGGACAGTATGTTCAGATAGTATCTGCAACCTGCTTCAAGCCAGTCTGCTTACAGCTAGTGATACCTGTATCACAGTTGAATATATTCTGTTTTGTTTGGCATATATTTTATCTTAAAATAAAGTCACACACCTTGAATATTAAAATAAATGTCTAGTGGCAAATAAAAATGGAACATAAATTGAATCGAACTTACATCAGTAGTTGCTGTCAGGATTTTAGAAAGAATGACTCTTGCTAATCCATCTCTGCTGTAATCCAAACTAGAAACAGTCAATTTTAACAAGTGATCCTGGTTCTTCAAAGAACAAAGATTAAGAAGACTGGGGGAAAGGTGTGGGGAGAGAGAGAAAATAAAAATTATTATTTGAACCCACTCAAACCCACTTATTTTTTCAATCAGTAATTTCAACTTAAGTACTTTGAATTAATTTTCAGTTCTATAAATGCAGAAGAATACAAAGTAAGGTCTCATGAAATGAAGAGACTTTAAACTGTTATAGCTGTTACAGTTAAAGGGAAACCAAATAATGCACTAAACTGCAAGAGGGGTAAAAAACTCCAAACCAACTTTTTAAATAACTACTATGTAACATTTTTGTCAGTATACTTGGATTGGTGATTATGAGTACAAAAACAAACGTTCATGAAGCTCTGTGAGCAATTCCATATTGTAAAACATTCTGTGTATACAGCCTGCCAAAAGGTTAGTACTATTAACTGTCTAGTTTTTATTGTAAATGAAATTTTCTGTAGCCACTAAAATATTTGCATGCTAATAAGCAATGAAAACAACTTAAAAAAACAACTATATTTGAAATAAACTGACCATTGGCCCAATTACTCCCAAAGGAAGGTAAGTTTATTTGTAACTGAACAAAATTTCATACTCCACAGATTCACTCAAATATATCGGACTGAAGTTTAGGTACAACATGCATCATCACATTTCACACACAGTATGACTCCTACCAGTTTGTTGGGGTTTTTTTGTTTATTTTGGTTTTTTAAATATTTCAGTACAATATCATCCTTCCTGATACTGATTTATGTCAGATAGGTATGGACAGGAAAAAGTAAGCTATTTTGTAACAAAATCACCCATATCTGTTCAGTAAGACAGACTAAAAGACCTCTTAAAAACCACCCAAAGCCCCCACAACTGAGGATCTTTACTTGAAAATAAATCAAAATAATTTTAAAGTTTTCAGCTTTATAGACAATGGTCCTCATGCACAGTTCACAAGTTTCATAACAATTATACCTGTAAGCACAATTCAAACAGAACAAAAACACTCACCACTGAAACACATTACATTTTTCAAGCATTTTCACTCCACGAGGGTGACAAGAGAGAGTACCAAAAAACAGAAAGTAGTGCTGGCTAAGGGTGTTCAGCAACCCATTATTTTGAAGACTACATTCAGGTTTCATTCCTGATGAAGAGTTGAGCCAATTTACAATATCTTTAACCAATTCCTCCAGGTAACCTTGTCCATCCTAACGAAACAAAGGATAATAGGATTTACCAGTAACAGAACTCTCTTCTTTACTGAAATCCATAATTTAAAATTTCTTTATATGTACAAACATGATACAGATACAAATTAGAATTGCGGTCTGGCAAACACAATTCAGACTAAAATAAAAGGTTCTGGGCAAATAAAAGGAATTTAGCTTGGAGACAACTTAGGAACAATTCTATTCTTCCCAAGAAAAGGACTGTTCAGTGACTTTTTTTCCTCTGGCCTGAGGCATGGAAGTCTTTAGGACTCAAAAAGAAAGGAGGCAGAGAAACAAAGGATATACATAGGGAAAAAAACTCCACAACATCCAAAACAACAAGAAACTCAACAGAAGAAAAACCCAAAACACAACCAAACCCTAAGTTGCATTTAATAAAACTGCATTTAATAAAACTCCTACTTAGACAGTCGTATCCCCAGTGTCTTATTGGGACAATTCAAGATTTTAAGTTATATTTCTTAATTACGTTGATCATTTTAGGTTTCATGGCCAAAGTCTACGGAAGTCTATACTAAAATTAAGGGGTTTTTTTCTCCAAGTGGCATACAGCAGCACTACTCATTCTATCTCCAGTCTTGAAGTTGAAAATTTCTTACCTCTTCTGATTCAAGAAGAAATTCAGTAAACTGACAACCCACCACAGTGAGCTGCTTAGCCTTGGCATAGTCCAGATCCAGGTTGGCATATAGTTTACTGCTAGGCTTGTAAAAATATAGCAATCTCCTTACAAACCTATGGAAAGTAAAAACGAATTCGTTATTTTTCAGTAAGAAAATTACAATCTCACATTACAAAGTGTTGCTAGTATAGAAGAGATTTTTATCGCTAAATTAGCTATTTGCAATAAAATTTCAAAAGTTATTAAAAGAGAGTAGCAGGTATCAGTGATAAGTCTATCCAGACATGATTTCAGAGATGCAGCTGTACTGTTTGTTATAAAGGGTTTTCTATGCCATGACTTAGAATAAACAAATGAACTAAAAATCTCTGTGCTCTTAGAAGCCATAGCTTCCTTCTCATTCTCATGCTTATAAATTTATTTTGTTGTAATTTATCCTGTGGTGAGTTTCAAAGTCTATACTATCTAGACTTACAAAGAGCTAAAGAAGAGTCTGTCTTAAAGTTTATGTGACATGACTTTTCTTTAGCTATAATAGTTAATACTACTGTGAAAAAAAAAGTTATGGTCTGCCAAAAAAGGTCATATTTATTCAGCAACAGTATTAAGCATTTTTGAAGCACAGCACAGTAATTGCAAATACAGACTCTCACTCAGACTTTTTGAAAACATGGTGAGCAACATAGCTTGAATTTTGCATTGCAGGAATAAATCTTCAGCAAAGAGCTCACATTAGTGCTTTAAAAGAACACGGAACGTTCTATCTGAAGGTATGTATGTCAAGCATTAAGAAAGTGTAACTAAAACACTGTCTTTAGTTAAAAAAACTGAGAGTAAGCCACTATCCTAACTCCAAATACAGGAGCAATTATAAAGCAAATCTGAAAGCTTATTTAAATTTCATTAAATGAAGTATATTTTATTCTGGGTTATTAGCAATATATATATATATATTAGTACACACATAAATGTGTGAGTGTTTGTGTATATATATGTATACATGTATGTATATACACGTACATGTGTATACACATACTACAGTAACTATCTTTATGAAATGAAGGGATCTATATAAAAAAAACTTGAATTTACTTTAACAGCAACAAGATCATCACAAAAACACGAATAGTAAAAAAAAAATCAACTTATGGAAGGACAAATAAATTTACTTTACACTTCAAAAACAAAGTGGCTGAAAATGTTTTATGATTAGCAGTGAAACTAGAGAGATTTGGGGGTTAATTACTTATAATTAACCAATAACAACAGCACTTTAAAGCCATTAAAGCATCTAACCCACAGTCCTGTAGAAAGGATCAACCAACTGTATAAGTTTTACAGTAACTCAATCCTAGGTTTTCTCAATTTATTTAAAATTAAATTATTAAAGCACTGAAAAATGCTTGAGTCCAGCACAAAACCAGAGAACAGGAACACTGTCCCAGGTAGAAAGGTAGAGGAGTGGATGTGAATGTCACAACCAGGACTGTAAATTTTCCTTTAGAGAAGCAACGATATTAACCACTAGATTTGGTAAATAATCCTTTACCACAAAGTATAGATTAACAATTAATGTTTAGGGAAGGAAAAAAAATCAGAAAAAACCACACAAATGCAAAACTAAATTATGACCATAGTTACAATGGGACTACCACTTATGCTGGGAACACTATATAAAAGCTGCCTGATTACTTTTTAGTAAAAATTAAAAATTTTACAGCCCCCAATATAAGAAGGACATCGAGCTGTTGGAGTGAGTCCAGAGGAGGGCCATTAGGCCATGATCAAAGGGCTGGAGCACCTCTCCTACAAAGACAGGCTGAGAGAGTTGGGGCTGTTCAACCTGGAGAAGAGAAGGCTCCAGGGAGATGTTATAGTGACCTTCCAGGACCTGAAGGGGTCCTACAGGAAAGCTGGGGAGGGACTTTTTACAAGGGCAGGTAGTGATAGAACGAGGGGAAATGGCTTTAAACTGGAAGAGGGGAGATTTAGAATAGATATTAGGAAGAAATTCTTTACTGTGGGTGGTGAGACACTGGAATAGGTTGCCCAGGGAAGTTGTGGATGCCCCCTCCCTGGAAGTGTTCAGGGCCAGGTTGGACAGGGCTTTGGGCAACCTGGTCTGGTGGGAGGTGTCCCTGCCCATGGCAGGGGGGCTGGACCAGATGATCTTTAAATTTCCTTCCAACCGAAACCATTCTGTGATCTATAGATTAATTTTTAGAAGCGTGACACAACAAGGAATAGTTTATTTCAACATTAAAACTCAGTTTTTACAAATTTCTTTCTTCAAAGGAAGTCTATGTAACTTTCACATACCTTTGCAATTGTTCATCTTTATAGTTCCTTAGATTTACATTTGGCCACTAGAAAAAACAGCAAATACAGCATTATAAGAAATTTGCACATCAGCCTTGATTAGTCACTAAGATTTACTCATTTCTATTATGGTTCTATTCACCTAATAATTAGAAGTGTAAGTTTTCTTGCATCTAATGTTACCTATAAAATAATCCCCTATTTTATTGAAAAGTCCACATTGCTCCAAAAACTGTTCTATTATTTTCTATGGAAGGACAGGGAATGTCAGGTGCATGCTATGTGTACACGTCCATAATTCTATTGAAAATAACAAACTAAGACATCCTAACACAAAATAAACAATTTTGTTCAGTTTCTTCTCTGCAAATAGCAAACAAATTTTGATACACATAACATGGAAATTGGGTTTTGTTGTTTTCACTATTAATCCGATTTGCTTTTGTCCTGGTTTGAGCTAAATAGAAC